TACGAAATAGAATAGAACAGAGAAAGAATAGAATAGATTAGAATAGATTAGATTAGATTAGAATAGAAAATACAGAATATAGAATAGAATAGAATACGAAATAGAATAGAACAGAGAAAGAATAGAATAGATTAGATTAGAATAGAATAGAATAGAATAGAAAATACAGAATATAGAATAGAATAGAATAGAATAGAATAAGAAATAGAATAGAATAGAGAAAGAATAGAACAGAGAAAGAATAGAATAGATTAGATTAGAATAGAATAGGAAGCTGGAAGGGACCTTGAAGGTCATCTAGACCAACCCCCTCTTCTCAAGCAGGAGATGCTGTGCCATTTCTGACAAGTGGCTGTTCCAGTCTCTTGTTGAAAGCCTCCACGGATGGAGCACCCACAACTTCTGGAGGCAACTTCTGTTCCACTGGTGGACTGTCCTCCGTTGTCAGAAAATTTCTCCTTATTTCTAAGTTGAATCTCTCTCTCCTTGATCAGTTTCCATCCGTTGTTTCTTGTCTGGCTTTCGGGGGCTTTGGAAAAATAGGTTGACCCCCCCCCTTCTCTGGGACAGCCCCTCAAATATTGGAAGACTGCTATCATGTCCCTCCTGGCCCTTCTCTTCACTAAGCTAGCCAGGCCCAGTTCTTGAAAGAAAATTAAAAAAAAGAAAGTTGCAAAAGATAGACTAAAAAGAGAGAAGCAACCTAGAACTAAGGATTAACCTTAGTGGAACCACCTGCCTCCAGAAGCGGTGAATGCTCCAACACTGGAAGTTTTTAAGAAGAGACTGGACAGCCATTTGTCTGAAATGAGATAGGGTTTCCTTCCTGAGCAGGGGGTTGGACTAGATGACCTCCAAGGTCCCTTCCGAGTCTGTTATTCTGTTATTCTCCTTCCTTCCTTCCTTCCTTCCTTCCTCCCTCCCTCCCTCCCTCCCTTCCCCAACACTGGAAGTTTTTAAGAAGAGATTGGACAGCCATTAGTCTGCAATGGTATAGGTTTCCTGCCTGAGCAAGGGGTTGGACTAGATGACCTCCAAGGTCCCTTCCAACTATTATTATTATTATTATTATTATTATTAATTATTATTACTATTATTATTATTATTATTATTATTATTATGTTGTTGTTGTTGTTGTTACCAGTTTGGGTTATAAGTCCAAACCACTGAAGGAAAGGGATTAGAAGAGAGTAAACAAACCACACTGTCTATATGCTTCCATAAAACCAAGATTAATATACATTCTGCTTTGCACTTCATTAAAGCTGGAATTCCACATTTGTGTTCCTCTACACACGTTTTGCTATTTAAAAAAAAACAGGTTGATTTTTTTAAAACTTTTATTTCTATTCTTTCATAATAAATCTGATATAGGCATTAATAATAATTATTACTACTACTACTACTACTACTACTATTATTATTGATGATCATCGCACAGTCAGCCAGATGTTCAGACTGGATTTGGCATTTTTTGTCTACCTATTGAGTCCTTCCCAAGGACCTGGGATAGGCAGATGTGGATGTTTGATGGTGTCACAGATCTCGTCGCAGGATGGAAGCAGTTCCTAGCAAGGCCGCCTTTTGCAATTGACTAATGGCGAATTTGTCAATGCCAATGAAGGTGTTCAAGTGGTGCTCCAGTTGTTTTGGGATTGCACCCAAGGCGCCTATGACTATTGGTACTATTGCTATTATTAATTATTATTATTACTACCAGTATGGTTTATGAGTCCAAACCACTAAAGCAGGGGTCTTCAAACTTGGCCCTTTGATGACTTGTGGACTTCAACTCCCAGAATTCCTCAGCCACTGTGTCTGGCTGAGGAATTCTGGGAGTTGAAGTCCACAAGTCATCAAAGGGCCAAGTTTGAAGATCCTTGCAGTAAAGGAAAGGGATTAAAAGAGAGTAAACAAACCACAATGACTCTACCGTTTAATGAAGAGTTTAATGAAGAGAAGGATGAGGGGGGACATGATAGCAGTGTTCTAATATCTCAGGGGCTGCCCCAAAGAAGAGGGAGTCAAGCTATTCTCCAAAGTGCCTGAAGGCAGGACAAGAAGCAATGGGTGGAAACTCACCAAGGAGAGAAGCAACCTAGAACTAAGGAGAAACTTCCTGACAGTGAGAACAATTAACCAGTGGAACTACCTGCCTCCAGAAGCGGTGAATGCTCCAACACTGGAGGTTTTTAAGAAGAGACTGGACAGCCATTTGTCCGAAATGGTATAGGGTTTCCTGCCTGAGCAGGGGGTTGGACTAGATGACCTCCAAGTTTCCTTCCAACTTTATTATTATTATTATTATTACCTGCGTTAGTGCCAGGGAATTCTGGGAGTTGAAATCCACGTATCTTAATAGGAATTCTGGGAGCTGAAGAGATCTAAGACGGCTTCAGCTATAATGTCTATATGCTTCCATAAAGCTGAAATTCCACATTTGTGCTCCTCTACGCAAGTTTTGCTATTTTTTTAAAAAAAACATTAGGAGGTTGATTTGTTTTTTTAAAGTTTTATTTCTCTTCTTTCACAGTAAATCTGATACAGGCAATTAAATAATTCTGCAAATAAAATCCAAGACAAAAGAAAATAAAAATAAAAATCAAGAAAGTTAAAAAGCCGAGGAGTTTTTTAAAGTTATGAGTGCCGTTCATACATACATATTCTTCAAAGGTGCGTCTTTAAACCGGAACGGGAGGACGTTTTAATATTACCACGACGATAAAACTCAAAAGAAAGTTTTTTTAAAAAACCTTCCATTGCTGTTTCTTTTTTGTTTAAAATACGTATTTTTTTTTTGCCAAACAAATAGAGAGAGAAAACAGATGTTGCAGGAGAATTTCTAGAGAAAGCAAAAATCTCCAACCACTAACTAACATTGGCTAAAAGATCGTCATTAGTTCAGTCAAGAATTTCTCCCCCCCCCCCCTTGGTTATGGTGGACACTGGAATTTGATTTATAGTATCTTAGTGCAAGGTGCCTCTATTACAACAGATTAAAACAACTGTACACTAATGAACGGAGACAGTTTGTGTCATCCTAGGACAGGAAAAAAAGAACGGGAAAGCTGAAATGCAGGATTAGAAATTAAAACCAACAAACCGCATTCACAGAGGCCATGGCAGTTTAATTTTGCAAGGAGACCGCACACCAGGGCCGTCGTACAACAGCCGCCATGCCCGTAAGCCGCTGCATTTGCGGGATTGCACTCCTAGCCCAATGTAGGAGTTTTGAGGCCAAGCCAGCGTCCTAGACGTTTTTTTGTTCTTGAGGACTAGCCTCATGCAAAATCAGCATAATTTTGCACCTGCGCCCAGTATAGTGTTTCTCAACTTTGGCACCTTGACGATGGGTGGATTACAGCTCCCAGAACTTCTCATCAAATTATGTAAATTTTGATGCATCCGATATGACATCTGCTGCATTTCCACTGTAGATGGTGGGAATGCGGTAGATGTAATATAACTTTTTAAATAGATGGTAAGAATGTGGTAGATGTCATAACTTATTTGACAGATGGTGGGGATGCAGTAGATGTAATATAACCTTTTACATAGATGGTGGGAATGCGGTAGATGTCATATAACTTTTTTAAAAAGATGGGAATGCAGTAGATGTCATATAACTTTTTAAATAGTGGGAATGCGGTAGATGTCATAACTTTTTAAAAAGATGGTGGGAATGTGGTAGATGTAATATAACTTTTTTAATAGATGGTGGAAATGTGGTAGATGTAATATAACTTTTTAAAAAGATGGTGGGAATGCGGTAGATGTCATATAACTTTTTTGATAGATGGTGGGAATGCGGTAGATGTCATAACTTTGATACATGGGAATGCGGTAGATGTCATATAACTTTTTTAAAAGATGGTGGGAATGCGGTAGATGTAATATAACTTTTTAAAAAGATGGTGGGAATGTGGTAGATGTCATATAACTTTTGATAGATGGTGGGAATGCGGTAGATGTAATATAACTTTTTAAAAAGATGGTGGGAATGTGGTAGATGTAATATAAATTTTTTGATAGATGGTGGGAATGCGGTAGATGTCATATACATTTTTAAATAGATGGTGGGAATGTAGTAGATGTAATATAACTTTTTAAATATATGATGGGAATGCGGTAGCTGTTATATAACTTTTTTAATAGATGGTGGGAATGTGGTAGATGTCATATACCTTTGACTTCAGCGTAAAATGAAAAAAATAACCCTTGACAGCACAATTCTGGGGAATTCTGGGAGTTGAAGTCCACCCATCTTCAAGGTGCCTTGGTTGAGAAGCACCAGAGCTATGTAAACCGGGCAGGGTCTACCTAAGAAGTGAGCCCTCCTGAAATCAATGGGGCCACCACCCCCCACCAACCCCCAGCTGCCTTCCCTGTCGCGACGGCCACAAGCTTTGGGGGGCGCAAGGCATTCCCGGTGGCAGTCAAAACCAAGTTATCCTGGCTACCGTCTTCCGGCCCCGATCCATGCATATTATAGCAGGAAAATGCCTAGATTCCGCGGCGCCTTAATTTTTAATATATACTTTTATATATATATAAAAAAATATCTATATACATTTATTATTATATTAGGAAACTTCTCCAGGGGAGACAGGGAGTGCTGCCAGGGAGAGGGCCCAAAAAGGCTGGGCTTCCCCTAGCCAGACACCGTTGGGATGTTAGACTCAATCCGGGGGTCACCGAGGGGGGGGGGCGCTATGAGAAGATAAGGTGGGAGCAAACCCTTCCTAGTGGGGTCAACAAGAGAGGTGGATTGTCTAACAGCAAAGGTTAGTGAGACAGAGGTGAGCAGCAGCGGCCAAAGGGGAACCCCTAAAGACATTATTCTCCGCCCCCCAATTTCCGTCAGCTTCGGACCTGTTAGTCGTTGTAAGCTCTGTGTTGGGATTGCCAAGAGCCACCAGGAAGGACCTGGTTTTTGTAGGGGGGGGGGTCCAGGAGATGGAGGAGGAGGAGGAAGAGGAAGGGGGAAGGGGGGGTCAGCTTTAGTCTTTGTTGACCCGGATTTTGAAAGCCACGCGTCCGGCAAACTTGTCTCGTTCGTCGGTCTTAATGTTGGCGGCGTTAATCCTGCACTCCACGTTGTGGTCGTGGTTAAAAGTGAGGTTGAGGAACTTGACCGCCACCACGGGCTGGGTGTAGTTGACCTGGAATTGAAAAAGAATTTTTTTAAAAAAAAAAAAAAAGGGGGGGGAGAAATCTCAGCCCCTCTCCCAAGACCCACCAAGAGAGAAAAAGTTAGGAAAAAAGATTGGGAAGTGTGTAGCCTATTGATCAAAACGGAGGAGGGGGGGACAGGATAGCGGTTATAGAAAAAAATAGGCCACACACTTCCCATTTTTTTTCCCTATTGGTCAAAAACAGAGGAGGGGGGGACAAGAGAGCAGTATTCCAGTATTTGGGGGGCTGCCACAGAGAAGAGGAGTGTGGGGGGGTGTCCCCCTATTCTCCAAAGCCCCTGAAGGCAGGAAAAGAAGCAACGGGTGGAAACTGCTCAAGGAGAGAAGCAACCTGGAACTAACCTGGAACTAAGGAGAATTTCCCCGATTTGTCTGAAATGGTACTATAGGGATTCCTGCCTGAGCAGGGGGTTGGACTAGAAGACCTCCGAGGTCCCTCCCAGCTCTGTTATACTGTTAGTCTAACATTCACCAATATCTCAGGGGCTGCTCCCAAAGAAGAGGGAGTCAAGCTATTCTCCAAAGCGCCTGAAGGCAGGACGAGAAGCAACGGATGGAAACTCATCAAGGAGAGAAGCAACCTGGAACTAAGGAGAAACTTCCTGACAAGTCAGAACAATTAACCAGTGGAACGGCTTGCCACCAGAAGCTGCGGGTGCTCCAACTCTGGAGGTTTTGAAGAAGAGATTGGACCAGCCATTCTGTTCTGCTATTATTATAGATCACGGCCTATATAGGCAATCTCTTTCTCCAGCTTTATTTAAATCAATATATAGGGTTTCCTGCCTGAGCAGGGGGTTGGACTAGATGACCTCCAAGGTCCCTTCCAACATTGAAGTCCACAAGTCATCAAAGGGCCGAGTTTGAAGACCCCTGGTCCGGAACATGAGTGGGCAACGTGCCACTCTAATTCTCGTCACCCCAAATGACTGGCAGAAGAAAAGGTGTTACAATTAGTCCTCGACTTACAACAGTTCATTTAGCGACCCATCAAAGCCACAGTCAGCCAGATGTTCAGACTGGATTTGGCATTTTTGTCTACCTATCGAGTCCTTACCCAGGACCTGGGATAGGCAGATGTGGATGTTTGATGGTATTACAGATCTCGTTGCAGGATGGAAGCGGTTCCTAGTAAGGCCGCCTTTTGCAATTGACTACTACTACTACTACTACTACTACTACTACTACTACTACTACTACTACTACTACTACTTATTCTACTACTACTACTACTTCTTCCTTCTTCCTTCTTCTTCTTCTTCTTCTTCTTCTTCCTTGTATTATTATTATTATTATTATTATTATTATTATTATTATTATTATTATTATTATTATTATTATTATTATTATTAAAAGCGGCAGCAAAGACTAAACTGGGTCCAAAAAAATATATAAATAAAAGAAGATGGGAAAATGAAACTTGTGATTTATAAAACTGCTCTGTCCGCAATACCCCAAGGGTCCAAAACGTGGGAATTTTTTCCCAGCCTGCCCTTGGCCAGGTTGGGTTAGGAAAAAAAAAAGAGGACAGGAAAATGAAACCTGTGGTATACAGTAAAACGCCTCGGTGCGCAGCAAACAACCCCTGGACCAAAAGTCTGGGAATTTCCCAGCATGCACCTGGCCGGGTAAGGCGCAAAGCATCCGTACTCACGTGAACTTTCTTCCCGTAATACGGGAAGTACATTAGATCGATGTGGCCCTCCGCGGGAAACATGGCTATCTCTCCCAGCTTCTGCACGTCCTCCTCTTTCTGGGAAGGTGAAAAATAGGGGAGGGGGTGTCAAAGGATAGCCTGAGTTTAGCCCCCTCCCCAACCAAAAGAAACACCGTTGCGCCATCAATCATTTCTATTTATGATGCATTAATAAACCATCCCGACAAGCCACGATTGAGCTTAGTTGCACCATCTCTCCCACTTTTCGTGCGTGGGTCTTTTAAACTCTGAAACTTAAATTCTTCCACCGTGCCCTCCCCCCTCAAATGAAGACCCCTCCCTCCCCTCATGGACTCTTACAAGGCTCTCGTCTTCGTGGACGGTTTCCTTCTTCTGACGGTGAAAAAACGGAGAAGGAAGGACAGACGGACATGCAAACCAAGAGGCAGGAAGGAACAGGCGAGAACGATGGACGGACGGACGGATTAGTAAACGAAATGAACGGGTTAGTAAAGAAAGAGGAATGAAATCAGGCTGGGGGGGGGAAATCGCTCCCTGCAAAGTTGGGGGGGGGGTGGAAACTTTTGCAAAGTTGAGCCAAAGATTCTACATTTTTGGGAGAGGTGCAGAAGTGGCTCATGCAGGCGTTGGAAGCCGTGGCAAATTCGTGGCCCGGTGTGGGGGGGCAAGCAGAATTCCTGTTCTCTCCCCCCCCCAAAGGAAGCAGGCACGGAAGCTGGAGGCTCTGCTACAGAAGACAGCCAAAGAGAAAGATTTGTGCAGCTTTCACTCCCCCTTTTTTATTTTTTAAAGGGGGGGTGGGCAAACGCCACTTTTCCCCAAATCCTCGGAATCGTGAGATGCATTTTTTCCCGCACAAAATAAGGGCCCGGATGCAGGTCCTCCTCAACGTACGACCGCGACGGAGGCCGGAAATTTCCGCTGCTAAACGAGACAGTTTTGGGGTGAACGTTGCCCCGTTGGACGACCCCGTTTCTGACCTCCGCTGTTAAGCGAGTCGCCGCGGCTGTTGACTTTGCTTGTAAGGAGGGCGCGAAAGGCGGATGACGTGGCCCGGCGACCGTCATAAATACGAGTCGGTTGCTGCAACGGTCGTAAGTGTGAGAAACGGTCCTTTTTCCAGGGCCGTCGTAACTTTGAACGGTCAGTAAATGGGCGGTGGTAAATGGAGGACTAACCGAATTTTCCATTCTTAAGATAGCCAAAATATAGGAGATCGGACCTTTTGTGTTGTTTTCTTGCAGACGTTTCATAACCCAACTAGGTAACATCATCAACGCTAGAAAGGAGTGCGGGTTTGTGGAGAGGAGGAGGAGGAGGAGGAGGAGAAGAAGAAGAAGGAGAAGAAGGAGAAGAAGAAGAAGAAGAAGAAGGAGAAGAAGAAGAAGAAGAAGAAGAAGAAGAAGAAGAAGAAGAAGAAGAAGAAGAAGAAGAAGAAGAAGAAGAAGAAAGGAGGAGGAAGAAGGAGAAGAAGAAGAAGGAAGAAGGAGAAGAAGAAAGAAGGAAGAAGAAGAGGAGGAGGAGGAGGAGAAGAAGAAGAAGAAGAAGAAGAAGAAGGAGGAGAAGAAGAAAAGAAGAAGAAGAAGAAGAAGGAGGAGGAGGAGGAGGAGGAGGAGGAGGAGGAAGGAGGAAGAAGAAGAAAAAGAAGAAGAAAAAGAAAAAGAAGAAGAAAAAGAAGAAGAAGAAGAAAGGAGGAAGAAGGAGGAAGAAGAAGAAAAAAGAAGGGAGAAGGAGGAAGGAGAAGAAGAAGAGGAGGAGGAGGAGGGGGGAGGAGGAGGAGGAGGGGGTGCTCTCTGAGCTGGGTGGTTTCCTCGCAGACATCTCACGACCCATCTAGGTAACATCATCAGTGGCGTATTCTCCTGTATCAGAGCCTGGACCCTTTGCTCTATGGCTGCCTCCTGAAGCAAGGTGCAGTCTATCCTACTATCGTCCTAAAAGCAACTTTGAGCAACTACGTAGCGGGTTTTTAAGGAGCCCCCAACCGGCCCCTCTTATCCTCAAGACTAGGAACCCTTACCTCCTGTGTGGACCTCAGTATCTGTCGGCAGAGAACATTGGATTTCCGATAGAACCGAAGAGGTGTGCAGAGTGAGTAGATAAAATGTGTGAACACCGAGAGCAAACAAACAAGAGATGGAGAAGAAGACAGAGAAAGTGGGGAGGGGGAGACATGGAGGGGAGGGGTCTCTTTACCTTGGCCGCGCAGGAGATGTTCATGGGCTGGTTGGCGCCTGCGTAGAATTTGATGACCTACAAAAAGAAGGAGAAGGAAGTTTAGGACAACATTTTTCAAACTTGGCCAGCGGAAGTTGGGGGGGGTGTGGACTTCAACTCCCAGAATCCCCCAGCCAACTGATCAAGTTTTCCATTTAACTCTTGTGCCATCTAGCTCACCTTTAACTCCTTCATTAATTTATTTTTATTTTTCCCCCCCACTTTGCTGAAATCAAGTTATATTACATCGACCGCCTTCCCACCATCTACTAAGAGAGTTGTTCAATAATAAAAAAAAGGGGGGGTATATTTGTTCTTGTCCTATCCGTGCTGAATTCCAGTAAAACCTGGCTGGCTGGGGAATTATGGGAGTTGAAGTCCACCCATCATCCAGTGGCTACAAACACTGGTTTAGGACCTTTGATTGGTTTCGGTGGTCCACGAGCTGGGGTCTTCAAACTTGGCCCTTTGATGACTGGTGGACTTCAACTCCCAGAATTCCTCAGCCAGCGTGAGGGAACTAGGACCCTTCGATGACTTCTGGACTTCAACTCCCAGAATTCCTCAGCCAGGCGTGAGGGAACTAGGACCCTTTGGTGACCTGTTGCACTTCAACTCCCAGAATTCCTCAGCCAGCGTGAGGGAACTAGGATCCCTTTATGACTTGTGGACTTCAACTCCCAGAATTCCTCAGCCAGCGTGAGGGAACTAGGTCTCTTTGATGACGTGTGGACTTCAACTCCCAGAATTCCTCAGCCAGCGTGAGGGAACTACGACCCTTTGGTGACTTTTGGACTTCAACTCCCAGAATTCCTCAGCCAGCGTGAGGGAACTAGGACCCTTTCGTGACTTATGGACTTCAACTCCCAGAATTCCTCAGCCGGCGTGAGGGAACTAGGACCCTTTGATGACTTGTGGACTTCAACTCCCAGAATTCCTCGGCCAGGCACGCTGGCTGAGGAATTCTGGGAGTTGAAGTCCACAAGACATCAAAGGGCCGAGTTTGAAGACCCCTGGTCCGGAACATGAGTGGGCAACGTGCCGCTCTAATTCTCGTCACCCCAAATGTCTGGCAGAAGAAAAGGTGTTACAATTAGTCCTCGACTTACAACAGCTCATTTAGCGACCAATCAAAGCCACAACGCCACTGAGAAAAGGGACTTATGACCAATTTTCACACTTGCGACCGTCGCAGCCTTCCCCAAAGTGACAGGATCAAAATTCAGGCACGTGGAAACTGGTTCATATTTATGACGGTTACGGTTTCCCAGGGTCGAGGGATCCCCTTTTTGCAACCTTGTGATTCACTTAATAACCGCCTTACTAACTTAATAACTGCAACGATTCGCTTAACAACGGTGGCCAAAACGGTCGTAAAATGGGGGCATAATTCCCTTAACAAAGCTCTCACTTAGCAAACTAAATTTGTTGGCTTTATGATGGCGGTCGTTAAGTTGAGGACTAACTGCGTTGGCCAGGAAGCCACAAGCAATTTTAAAAAGCCCCTTTGCTACACCCCCCAGCCCCAATTGCTGCTTCTTCGTCTCCTCCTCCCTAACCCCCCCTCCCCTCTGGGGAGACCCTCACCCCACAATGTCCCACCAACCCACCCGGTTCATTTTGACCAGGATGCAAGGCCGTCCTTCCTGGTAGCCGTAAGTCGAGTCGTTGAGTCCCGAACAGTCCCTCAAGAGCGTGCGGTTGAACTGGCAGGCCCTCTTGGGGTAGTTCAAGACCCCGTTGTCCGGCTGTTCGTTGTAACGGCCCGGCTGGCAGAATTCGTTCATGGCCACCTGCCGAGAGTCGTTGTAGGCTGGCGGAGAGAAAGGAGCGGAGATTGGGTGAGAAGGAGGAAGGAAGGAAGGAAGGAAAGGAGAGAAAGAAAGAAAGAAAGAAAGAAAGAAAGAAAGAAAGAAAGAAAGAAAGAAAGAAAGAAAGA